AAGAGAGTGAGGAGGGAAGGAAGGAGGGAAGTGAGGGAGGAGAGGGAGAGAGAAAGAGGGAGAGGAGGGAAGGAAGGAGGGAAGTGAGGGAGGAGAGGAGAGAGAGAAAGAGGGAGAGGAGGGAAGGAAGGAGGGAAGTGAGGGAGGAGAGGGAAAGAGAAAGAGAGTGAGGAGGGAAGGAAGGAGGGGAGGGAGGGAGGGAGAGAGAGAGAGAGAAAGAGGGTGAGGAGGGAAGGAAGGAAAGAAGTGAGGGAGGGAGGGAGAGAGAAAGAGGGAGAGGAGGGAAGGAAGGAGGGAAGTGAAGGAGGAGAGGGAGAGAGAAAGAGGGAGAGGAGGGAAGGAGGGAGGGAAGTGAGGGAGGAGAGGGAGAGAGAAAGAGGGAGAGGAGGGAAGGAAGGAGGGAAGTGAGGGAGGAGAGGGAGAGAGAAAGAGGGAGAGGAGGGAAGGAAGGAGGGAAGTGAGGGAGGAGAGGGAGAGAGAAAGAGGGAGAGGAGGGAAGGAAGGAGGGAAGTGAGGGAGGAGAGAGAGAGAGAAAGAGGGAGAGGAGGGAAGGAAGGAGGGAAGTGAGGGAGGAGAGAGAGAGAGAAAGAGGGAGAGGAGGGAAGGAAGGAGGGAAGTGAGGGAGGAGAGGGAGAGAGAAAGAGGGAGAGGAGGGAAGGAAGGAGGAAGTGAGGGAGGAGAGAGAGAGAGAAAGAGGGAGAGGAGGGAAGGAAGGAGGGAAGTGAGGGAGGAGAGAGAGAGAGAAAGAGGGAGAGGAGGGAAGGAAGGAGGGAAGTGAGGGAGGAGAGGGAGAGAGAAAGAGAGTGAGGAGGGAAGGAAGGAGGGAAGTGAGGGAGGAGAGGGAGAGAGAAAGAGGGAGAGGAGGGAAGGAAGGAGGGAAGTGAGGGAGGAGAGAGAGAGAGAAAGAGGGAGAGGAGGGAAGGAAGGAGGGAAGTGAGGGAGGAGAGAGAGAGAGAAAGAGGGAGAGGAGGGAAGGAAGGAGGGAAGTGAGGGAGGAGAGGGAGAGAGAAAGAGGGAGAGGAGGGAAGGAGGGAGGGAAATGAGGGAGGAGAGAGAGAGAGAAAGAGGGAGAGGAGGGAAGGAAGGAGGGAAGTGAGGGAGGGAGGGAGAGAGAAAGAGGGAGAGGAGGGAAGGAAGGAGGGAAGGAAGGAGGGAAGTGAGGGAGGGAGGGAGAGAGAAAGAGGGAGAGGAGGGAAGGAAGGAGGGAAGTGAGGGAGGAGGGAGGGAGGAGAGGAAGAGAGAAAGAGGGAGAGGAGTGAAGAAAGGAGGTGGGAGGAGAGGGAGAGAGAAAGAGGGCGAGGAGGGAAGGATAGGGAGGAAGGGAGGGAGGGAGGGAGGGAGGGAGGGAGTGGGAGAGGGTGGGGGAGAGAGAGAGAGAGAGAGGAAGAGGAGTAGGAATGGGAGTAGGAGAAGGAGAAGGAGAAGGAGGAGGAGAAAGAGGAAGAGGTAGAACAAGAACAAAAAGAAGAGAAACAGAAACTGGAGGAGCAGGAGAAATGAAGCAGAAGAAGAAGGAAAAAAAAAAAAAAACTTAGAACGATAAAAAATAAATAAGTAAATAAATAAAAAATAAAAATCCATTAGCGAGGAACGTAGCATCTCCTTAATGTACAAGTGAACACGGGATAAAAATACCTGGATGAAAATAAATAAATAAATAAATAAAATCTTATACACAATATACAAGGGAAATAAATAGTAAAGAAAAAAAAATACCCCTGGAAAGAAAGAAAAAAAAATCTACGAAACACCCGTTTTCTTTTTGAAATTCCGTGACAAGAAATTTTCACTATTTACATTCATGTGATTACTTAACGAATTTAATGAGGACACAGACTCTCATTAATGACTCTAATTCGTGACTTTTCATCATGTAAATGCACTAATAAATAGATTTTTTTTTATTCTAGCCATTTTGTATTATAAATTACACACGCGCACACAAACACGCACATCCTACATAAAATTAGCATAACAATAGAAAACATAAAACCAAATGGAATAGAAACGAAAAAAAAAGAAAAATAAGTTTTGTATTAAGTATAGCAATACTGGGTAATAAGATTAATATGAAGAATAGACATGAAAGTAATCGAGTTGAATAGTGGAATTTTCAAGTCTTTGGGCTGACAAAAAAAAAAAAAAAATCACCATATATAATGATAACCTACCCACATGACTGATATAAAGTGTCAGATTCCATCAAATGCCATTTCACAATATTTGTATCGTCAGACTGACCGTAATAATAAAACAGATACTAATATAATAATCAAAATTGTTATATGCGAATTAATTTTCGTCTTTCGAGAACAAGTTTTAATGTCACTTGTTATGATGCAACGTAGCAAGGCTTCTTCATGTTGCATGGTGCAAAATGCAAATTAAAGTGGATGCTTACTGTCGTACTATTTTATTTATTTATTTATTTTCTTTGCCTCTGCCTTTCTCTTTGTCCGTGCTCTTTGCCACACCCTCTCTCTCTCTTTC